TCGTCACGTACCATCACTCGTTGTTTCTTTTCTGGCGGGTATTCTCTGATCCACTGCAATGCTTGTCCTATTATTTTTGCCTGCTCCTCTAGCTTTTGCACTAATCTCGTTTATGGAGCTGTTTTGAAAGCTTTCTTAAAGTCCAAGAAAATGCAATCTACTCACTCCTCTCTCTCTTATCATAAAACTCCAGTAGGTCCGTGACAGAATTTCCTTTCCCTGAGACCGCACTGGTTATCGTGCATAAGCTCATTCCTTCATAGGTGTTCCACCACCCTTCTCTTGAAAATCTTCTCCATGACTTTGCTTACTATGTTTCAGTGACACTGGACAGTAGTTAAATACTGCCTATCTGTCTCCTTTCTTAAAAATTGGGATTACATTCACTGTCTTCCACATCTCAGGAAGCTTCAATAGATGTCTTTAAGATTGTTATTAGTGGCACACACAGCGCCTCTGTTTTCTCTCTCATGATCCATGGAGAGATGTAGTATGGCTCCACTGCCTTTGAGATATCTAGTTCACTTAGAAGCCTTGTTGAGAAATGGTACAACTAAGGTTAAAGATTAAATATAGGGGGAACTTAGCTTGATAGACAGCTTTCACCTAAACAGCCACCCCTGCAGACGAGGTCTTGAGAAGCTGTTGTAGCCACTTCTCAACAGGCTGTAAAGAACATTTATTAGAAACAAATTACCCCTAGGGGGTATTATGTCAGCATATTTCATTAACTGATTTCTGACTGGAAAACTTACTATTGTAGGCTCAATGGCCTGTAATTTATCGAGTATTGGTAGTCTAATCAACATAACATGATATCCGCTGTGCAGCTGACCTATCAATGATCATTAAATGTACCTGGATATCTGTAGCTGACCCATAGTTGCACCTGGATATCCGATGACTTAATTGAAGAATAGTGTTCCTTGAAAAATGTCGCACTACACTCTGTAGGATCGTAACACTCGTTGTTACACTGTTCAAGATTTGTTCATTTTCACAATCTGTTTACTAAAGAAACTGATGACACTTCTCTGTAAGTGTTTATTATGTTTTGTGAGACACGTTGTTCACACTAATGCACGGATCAGTGTTCTTTGTTGGTTATCCTGGCCTCACAGCGTCACGCCGCACCTCACTTGTGCCCAGCATAAAGGAAACGATGACCTAGTACATTTCGCTTCCTTGCCAAACTTCCACTATGAAGCAATGCAGAATACTTGATTCTTGCTGTCTTAAGCATAGACAACAATGTATACTATCTTTACCATGGTAATAAAGTGGGAGCAGGATTTTCCTTAATTGTCCTGCTAAGGTAAGAGATGGACTGTCTCTTATTAAACTAAACTACTTGCAACATTGGCCTCTTGCAAGGAGCCACGGCCACGTGACCACGTCACATGCTCGTACTGCATCTGGGATCAATTACTTGCTGTAGCAGTGAACAAGATGCTTGTGCCCCTCAGGGCTGAAAAGGGCTGAAAGGGGCTGATACCCCCCTCCTGGAGAAAATTTCTCCACAAGCCTCTTCACCTCCTCCTCGGTTGTGTGTATTGTGTCCAGCACTTGTTGGTGAACCCCACAATTCCGGCTTTCTGAAGTCCTTTCAGTCTCCACTGAAAACACTTCCTTAAATTTCATGTTGAACTCATCATTTGCTTTTCGGTCGTTTCCTGTGATCTCCCCTCCTTCATTCCTCAGCCTGATTACTTGGTCTTTAGCTGTAATTTTTCCTGATGTGGCTATACAACAGTTTCGGGTCAGATTTGGCTTTCGATGCTATGTCACTTTCGTATTGCCGTTAAGCCTCCCTCCTTATCTGTGCATATTCATTTCTGGCTATTCGACTGTTCTCCTAATTTTCCTGGGTCCTTTATTCTCTATACTTTTTCCATTCTCTACCACACTTAGTTTTGGCCTCCCTACACATTCGGGTGAACCAAGAGCTAGTTCTGGTCTTCCCACTGTTTCTGTTGCTCTTGGGTACGAACCTCTCCTCTCCTCTCCCTCCTTGCATTTTGTTGTCACATTTTTCACCATTTTATTTACTGATTTTTTCCCACCAGATTCCTTTTCCACTGACCTTCATGCAGGACATTTCTCATGCCCCTCTTTTGTAGTTTTGCTTCTCCCAGCCTATTCGTCTTGCTAACCCTCTTAACCTGTAGCTCTACTATGTATTCAAAGCTCAGGACCTCAATTTCAGAACTACTCAAGGTGAATATGAGGTCCAGTCTTGCTAGGCCATCCTCTCCTCTATCTCTGGTATTGTCCCTAACATGTTGATGCATGAGGTTTACCAGTAGCACCTCCATCATCTCAGCCCTCCACGTTTCAGGTCCCCCGTGTGGCTCGAGGTTTTCCCAGTCAATCTCCTTGTGATTGAGATCACCCACAGCTAGTAAGTTTGCCCTGCTCATGTGGGCCCTCTGGTCACGTCAGCTAATGTGTCAACCATTGCTCTGTTGCTCTCATCATATTCTTGTCTTGGCCTCTTGCTATTCTGTGGTGGGATGTACATCACTGCAGTCACCACCTTGGGCCCTACAGTCTGAAGTTTTCCTACCATGTCGTCCCTTGCCTTCCTTCTGCCCCCTCCTTCCAATTCCTCAAAACTCCAATGGTTTTGATGAGCAGTGCAACTCCTCCACCCCCCTGTATTCCTTTTACCTTTCATCAAGATATGTTATCCATTTGGAAAGAGTGTGTCTGCTTTCATTCCTGTGAGCTTGGTTTTCGTGAATGCTGTGATGTCGAGAGATGCCTCCATGATTTTTCGTGCCACTCCTCACACTTATTCGTTATTCCGTCTGTGTTGGTGTATCATACCTTCAGATTCTTTAACAAAACTGTATTCTGGGAGGTTTATGGTGCTGGGGGAGTGGGAGACATGGCAGGCTACTATGGAAGGCTGCTGTGTAGGTGGGGTATGTCCTGGGGGATGGGGGCTGTGAATGTAGAGTGTGATTTGGTTTTGGTTAATTTGTTTGGTTGTGGGGTTCTTTGGGTGGATCAGCAGATGGTTGTACTTTCTGCTCCTCCCTACTCTGGGTGTCCCTGCCTGACTCTAGCCTCGTCTCTCTTTCCACTTGCATCTTTGTATCCTTTCTCTCAGTTTCTGTTGTTTTGTTCTCGTTCTGTCGTGGTCTAGGTGCACTCGCTGGTATTTTGTTTCCTTTAGCTTTGGTTTCTGCTGCCGGATCCTGTTTCACACCGTTTCTGTCCTGAAAATCGATTTGACTGGCAGATATCTTCCCTACGAGTATCCCCATGTTCTTTGAAAATTTATCATCTCGGTCATATCCTCCTCTCCTGTTTATTTGAAGATATTTTTATTCACTTTTTTCTCTACCTGTCGTCTTTCTTCATATGTCCTCCCTTCAGTCTCCTGAAGCCCATGAATAAAAACTCACCTCTCCCTCTCATCTTCTCATTGTTTTTCACTTTGCGTCTCTGAGTCCTATTTAATCACAGCCATTGCTTCTTCCTTCATCATTTCCTGGATCTCCCGGTGGCCTGATAGCACCTCTGCGGGACGCCTATCACCTTTTCTTCCTACAACGCCCCCCCCCATCCCTTTCACTTCCTGCTGTCCCTGTGCCTAACAGCATGCCACTTTTCTTCCTCGGCATTTCCTGGTGGCATGATAGGGCCTCTACGCAGGACTTAATTCCATCCTTTGCTTCGGTCACCTCGCTGGATATTGGTGTACCTACTCCTGATGCCATGCCCCTTCTGTTCTCTGGCTCTACATCCTGCTTCAGCATTTTCAGTTCATCTTCTAGGCTCTGTAATCTGGTGTGTGTGTGTGTGTATGTGTGTGTGTGTGTGTGTGTGTGTGTGTGTGTGTGTGTGTGTGTGTGTGTGTGTGTGTGTGTGTGTGTGTGTGTGTGTGTGTGTGTGTGTGTGTGTGTGTGTGTGTGTGTGAATAAATATGCTCCGGAAAACATATTTCTTATTAAACAACTGAAAATCACAGATTGTAATTATTTTTTCCACAATATGGTTCAGCTCTCCTCTCCTCCAACACACCGAGCTAAGACATGGGGTCTTGCCCTACCTCTTAACCACTTTTCCTACTCGGACTCCTTGCTCTTCTTCCTTCCTCGCCTCCCCCTTCCATCCTCTCAACCCTGACCGCCAACCGTGAATTGGTATCCAACTGCTTCTGCTGTACAGTATGTGTTAGCTTTGCAAGCACCATTTTGCTTTGACCAAAGTACAATGAGGTCTTTCAAATGAGGTGTCTCAAAACTAACAGACGGAGGATCGAGTCTCCAACACTGCTTGCGATAATCGACCCGCACGAATCATTCAGGATTAGTAATTTAATTTAAACAAGTACCTCATTCTCCTCCTGTTCTTCAAGATTCTCCTTTATATGGACTGATGAAGCCACTGTGTGGCGAAACGTTTCCTCAATAAAGATACCCAAGAGTTGCACATGTGTCTAATTTATCAAAACTAACAGACGGAGGATCGAGTCTCCAACACTGCTTGCGATAATCGACCCGCACGAATCATTCAGGATTAGTAATTTAATTTAAACAAGTACCTTTAAGGAACAACTTGAAATGTAAACAGACTGGCATTTGCAGTTGACAGGCTTAGGCTAGTTGCAGATTGATTTGACAGTTTAGATTATTTATGATTACTTAACCAAGTGAATTCTTATTAATCCTTGTGGCTCCTCGTACAAGGGTCTTTGTGAATACATATGTTCTTTCGCTACTGTCTACCGGATAGATGTAGGGTACTCAAATAACATGCCGTTGCAGCCAGCAAAAAACTGACTTCATTTTTTTTCTCTACGGTTTTTACTCTATCTCCATTTTCTACCCATGCCATTCTTTCTACAATATCACCAACTTCCCTTTATCCCTAGGTGACTGCTTTTACAGTTTGTCTTTACATCCACTTCTGTTTAGAGAGTAGCGTCTCTAGCCTTCTGCCATCTCTTATTCCACACTAATCTAGCCTCTTAATTTTCCCATACTCACCTGTATTAGGGCTAACTTTATCTCCTGCTCAGCCAGACGTCGTCCTGGACACATGCGAGCACCGTGGCCAAAAGCCACTATGGTGTATGGATGAACTTTCCTTCTACTAGGTTCTCCACCTGCGCCCCGGGTGACTGGTTCATCGAGCGATGGTGCAGGCTCTAGTGCCGTAGCAGACGACCTTGAGAGCCACCGTTCTGGCCGGAAGACTTCAGGTTCCGGGAATACTTCCGGGTCGCAACAAGCGACCACTGGAGGTGACGTGACATACGTCTGGGGATAAAAAACGCTGCCAGTTACTATGGTATCTCTCTGGTTCCTTAATGTATGTTAGCGACAGCAAATGCTGTCAATTTTATTAAGTTATACTATTTGCAATTTCATATAGAAGAACAGTATTAATAAGGGTGTGTGAGAATAATATTAGATTACAGATCAGTGATCAACTTATTAGAAATATGTATGTATGTTGGTAGAATTACCGACAATATGTAAAGTAAAAAGACACAAGTGCAACTAATGTGACATTTTATTGTGGCAACGTTTCGCTCTCCAGGAGCTTTGTCAAGCCGTTACAAACAATACATGGTCACAGAGGGTATATATAGGCTAAGAGTGAGGTATAATACTAGTGGTAGTAGTAGTAGTAGTAGTAGTAGTAGTAGTAGTAGTAATAGTAGTAGTAGTAGTAGTAGTAGTAGTAGTAGTAGTAGTGGCAGTAGTAATAGTAGTAGTAGTAGTAGTAGTAGTTGTGATATAAGTTGTAGTAGTAGTATTGATACAATGTAGTAGTAGTGATACTACTACATTTTATCACTACTAGTTGTAGTAGTAGTAGTGATACACGAGTAAAAGGATATGAAAGCTATTACTTGGGTAGCATAAAAATAGGTTAAACAAATATTGGAGGTTGGATTAGAGAAGGTCTGTTTCAGTGTAGATCCAAACTACTCAGTTTCTTGTTACGGATGGAGAAGTTTCGGATGCAGTTGAAGGGTCGCCTGAATGCTTAAGATGAGCGGGGCGACCTTCTCAACCGCATCCGAAACCTCTCCATCCGTACCAAGAAACTAAGCAGTTTGGACGTGACTTCCCTCTTCACTGAAGTACCTACCACACCTACCTACCAATCAGGGCCATAATCTTCCGCTCCCACCCGGAGATTTTGTTGACCTAATTGAACTCTGCATTAATTTCAACTGTTTTTCTTTCAATCACAGGCTCTACAGACAAACCTACGGCATGGGAATGGGGTCCCCCATGACTGTCGTCTTAACCAACTTGTACATGGAACACCTAGAGGCTGAACACTTCGCCACCATCATCCCTTCAAGCATCACTTGATTACGTTGCGTGGACGACGTCCTCTTAATAACTCCCAAACGTTTTGATGTACAGAATCTTCAGGCAAGGCTCAACGCAGTTGAACTGGCGATCCAGTTTACATTAGAAGAAGAGTCCAATAACAAGCTACCTTTTCTAGAGGTCCCCATTCACAAAGTAGATAACAACCTAAGGTTTCAGTTTTACCGGAAACCTACATATATAAATGATCTCACACACTTCTATTCCAGTCAAGATACTAAGACTAAAAGAGGCATCATCATCGAATTTTTCCTAAGAGCATACCGAATTTGTAGTCCTGAGTTTCTTGACGAGGGATACACATATAATCACCAAACCTTCACTGATTTACATTTTCCTTCCTTTTTCATCAAAGATTAAAAGAAAAGAGCTCTTCAGATCATTAACTCTCCACGCACCAACACCACTCCTAACAAAGTTATAATTCTTCGCAACAGCCAGGTTGCATTGAACATTTCTCAAGTACTTGCGCCATCGTTTTCAGCACTTCAATAAAGGATCTAACCAGGACAAAATCCAAGCACCATGAACCAGTCAACGCAGGGATTTACACTATACCCTGTAGAGGCTGCGACGGGATTTATGTAGGTGAAACAGCAAGAAACCTTGAAACCCGACTCAATGAGATCAGTGGTCACGTGTGGTCATACCTGCCTAAGCTCTTGGGAATTAGCGTGGGGTGTTACCAAGCACCATGGCTTGCTGTAGTGTTTTAGAATCTCCGTTTCAAATGTTGAAGAAGGAGGTTCTACTTCTTCAGGAGGAAAATAGGAGGCTGAAGCTTCGCATAGATGAGTTTGGGAGTGAGTGTGAGATGGATTTAGTTGGTAAGGAGGAAATGGTCACCAGCAGTGAGAGTGGCAGCCGCTTTAAGTGGCAAGTGCTTCACAGTTCAGGAAGAAGGAAGATAAGGAGGGTTAATAGAGAAGATGTGAAGGTAGGAAATCGATTCTCTTTTCTCCAGGACGAGTGTACTACAGTGGTTAGTGAGGTTGAAGGCACCACTAATTCCCCTGATATTCAAGGTAAGAATATTGTAGTTGTAGGAGATTGTCAGGTAAGATATATGGACTGTGCTTTTTGTAACAGAGATAGAAAGGTCAGACAGAGGGTGTGCCTCCCAGGAGCTGGTGTTAGTGACATAGTCAGTATGTTGGATAATATTATGTCAGGTAATGGGAACAAGCCCATTATCTGTCTTAGTGCTGGGGGTAATGACAATGAGAAGGGCAGGAGACAGGAGCTGCTGGATAAGTACAGGTCAGCCATAGAAGTAGTCAGGTCTAAGGGAGGGATCCTAGTCATATGTAACATCCTGCCTAGAAAGGGAGTGGGCAATGAATGGATGTCTTGGGCAATTGGTATAAATTGTTGGCTAGTCAGGTACTGCAAGGAACTTACAATCCCATTCATTGATAACTGGGACAAACTCTTTAGCAACCTTGATATGTATGCAAGGGATGGGGTTCATCTCTCTGGGGTTGGAGTGGTTGCATTAGCCAATTCGATTGAGAGGGTAATTGATGACTTGTCTAGGACTTTAAACTGATAGATTATGGAGGTATGGGTATTTATGGAAAACGATCAGGCTGCAATATTAGGGTTGAAAACAGCAGATATTACCGGGATACCTCAAGGATATGTTTAAAAGACAATATTCAAAATAAAGTTGCTAGTAATGGCAAATAATTGATCAACAAACAAAGAGAGATAGTAGAGGGCAACGAGTGACTAGTGCCCTTAAGGTTTACTAAACAAATAGTAGGAGTCTAAGAAATAATATAGATGAGCTAAGACTACTTGCAAGTCCAGGTAATATAGATATTATTGGTATAACAGAGACCTGGTTTAAGCTGAAAGATAGAGAAATGCCTTCTGAATGCAACATACAGGGTAATAAACTATTCCACAATGATAAGGTCAACAGAAAGGGTGGTGGAGTGGCGATGAAAGTCAGAGATAATTTTAATTGTTGTCTTACACATGATATAAGATTAAAAAAATCGGACACAGAATCTGTTTGGCTACAGTTTCTCGAGGGTCGTGACAAATTAGTTCTGGGAGTGATTTATAGGCCCCCAAACCTTGATAGGGAGTGCAGTAAACTGTTATGGGACGAAATTCATAAGGTATCTAGATATGAAAATGTTGTGTTAATTGGGGATTTTAACTTTATACAAATTGATTGGAACAATACGACAGGAAACCTTGAGCCTAGTGACTTTCTTGATACGGTTCAGGATTGCTTTTTAGAACAGTTTGTGACATAACCAACTAGAGGAAACAATCTGCTTGATTTGGTTCTTGCCAACAAAGAATCGCTAATTAATAATCGTAAGGTTAATGATGAGCATGGGGAAAATGATCACAAATCACTTAGTTTCAATATATCATGGAATTACCCAGATATCAGCAATCAAATCTCTGTCCCAGACTTTCGCTTGGTCGATTTCATGGGACTGAGAAATTACCTGGGTGGGTTAAATTGGGATGACCTGACTATGGGTCAGGGAGGTGATCTTCGTTGCCAATATGACGTTTTTTAGAGCATAGTTCTAGCTGCCCAAACAACTTTTGTTCCGAGTAGGGAAATTAGATCTAACAAAAATGATCCCAGATGGATGAACAATAGATTAAAACATCTCATTGGTCAAAAGAGAGGCATATATAGGCGTAGCGAAAGAGGGTATGGGCAGTTAAGAATTCAATATATTGAATTAAAGAGAGAAATAAAAAAAAGAATAAGAAAAGGAAAAATGGATTATGAGGCTAAGGCCGCAAGGGATTCGAAGACTAACTCAAAAGGGTTCTCAGACAAATAGAGAAATTAAAACCTAACAAATCCCCAGGCCCTGATAAACTGTTTGCAAGGGTGTTAAAGGAATGTAAAGGGGAACTTAGCATACCTTCGGCTAATCTTTTCAACATATCACTACAAACTGGCATAGTGCCTGATAAGTTGAAAATGGCAAATGTAATACTATTTACAAGGCAGGTGACAGGTCCTTAGCTTCGAACCATAGACCAATAAGCCTTACCTCCATAGTGGGAAAATTTATGGAATCAATAATTCCCGAAGCAATCTGTAGCCATCTTGGCAGGCAAAAACTGATTAATGAATCTCAACACGGTTTTACAAAGGGGCGTTCCTGTCTTACGAATTTACTAACTTTTTTCACTAAGGTGTTTGAGGAGGTAGATCATGGTAACGAATATGACTTGTGTATATGGACTTCCGTAAGGCTTTCGATAGAGTTCCACATCAGAGGCTATTGAGGAAACTTAAGGCACACGGAATAGGAGGAAAATTTTTTTCCTGGGCAGAGGCATGGCTGACAAATAGGCAGCAGAGTGTTTGCATAAATGGGGAGAAATCAGAATTAGGGCACATCACTAGCAGTGTTCCGCAGGGGTCAGTGTTCGGTCCGTTGCTGTTCACAATTTACATAAACGACATAGATGAGGGAATAAATAGCGACATAAGCAAATTTGCTGATGACACCAAAATAGACCGGCCAATTCATTCTAATGAGGACACTAGAGCACTCCAGGATGTTTTCAATAGACTGATGCAATGGTCGGAGAAGTGGCAGATGCAGTTTAATATAGACAAATGCAAAGTTCTAAATGTTGGACAGGAAAATAACCATGCCACATATAAACTAAATAATGTAGATCTTAATGCTAGTGATTGCGGAAAAGATTTAGGAGTTCTGGTTAGCAATAATCTAAAACCAATACAACAGTGCATTAGTGTTCGCAATAAAACTAACAGAATCCATGGCTTCATAACTATAAATATAAATAATAGAAGTCCTCAGGTTGTTCTTCAACTCTATATATCCTTAGTTAGGCCTCATTTAGATTATGCTGCTCAGTTCTGGTCACCGTATTACAAAGGAGAATGA